TTCCCTGCCTGGGGTCCCCCCCTTCCTCCCCCCACCCCCCACTTACCTGCGGTTCAGTCGCGGGGCAGCCACGTGCTCCCAGGCCAGAAGCCCCAGCAGGGGCCTCCGGCTGGGGGGGCAGGGCCAGGCAGGCCCACTGTTGTTGGAGCCCACCGGGCTCCCCTGGGTCCTACTGCCCTTGGTTCCTGTCATTTTTGAGCCAAGGGCAGAGAAATATTCATTTTCTACATTTTTTAGGGGCCCCGCGGACCGGATAGAATGGCCTCGCGGGCTGTATTTTGCCCACCCCTGATGTAAACAAATAATGCTTGTTGCCATGTTTAGTGGGGAAAAGACAGAAAAACTGCTACAAGCTTTCAGTTATATTATTTAAATTAATTACTTTTGTTTTTATACACAGCATGTCATTGTCTGCTTATTGTGTATTGTGCTGTAGAAGAATAGGAACCTCTGGTCCACCCACCAAAAATGACCTTCCGTGGAAAGATCTCAGTAAGTGCAGTTCTGTAATCAACCTGATGAACCCCTAAAAACTAGTTTTGTCAGAGCAGGATGTATATTTAAATTACATATTAAACTTCAAAAGATGTTACCAAAAATGTCTAAAGCCTAATTTTAATCTCTCAAATACTTTGAGATGACAGGCAGCAAACATAGGTTTATTTCCTTCACACTGTCACTCTGTATGCTTACTACTAAACTTGCCAAGCAGAATTATATGTAAAATACCATTGTTATGTTTTAGTGTTAGTGCTTCACTGATATGATCTGAGTAGCTAATGTTGCTCAAGCATACAGCCCTGCATTGGTTTATGCTTGATTCACGTTCTAAGGTTATTTTCACAATCATAGGGCCTTAATTTATTTGAAGAGAAATGATAGATTTTAGAGCACAAGATGGCCACCTCCAAACATTATCATCTCATGAAGCTTTCATAACCTGGTCAAATTCAGTGTCTATTTCTTTTCTTTTTTTTTGTCCTTGAAACCATGGAACAAATTGATCCATCGGCTCTTAAAACCAGCAATTACAATTAAAGAAATGTTGGCTCCCAAGGCATTTTTAAACATGGAAGCACTGCAGCACTTGAGTTTTGAAAAGCGCCCAGCACTGCAATACTTGCAGTTGTATAAGTGGCGAAATGCACGTCAATGCTGAGAAAATGGCAGTGGTGCGCTTTTGAACTAAAAGAAACATTTGCTTTAGTTCAAAAGTGTACTACTGCCATTTTCTGCATGCTGACATACTTTTTGCTGCTTATACAACTGCATGCAACGTAGCGTGGTTCGCCTCAGCTTGTGTGCGGAGCAGACTCAATTGAGTCTGCTCTGAAGTAGCAGATCTCCAGTACGTCACAGGGCAGAAAAGTATGTGTATAAATTCCTCCATGTCTGTTCCTCTCTGCCTGCTGGTTATTGCCCTGACACTCTGCCTGTTCAGTTTACACTTTCCCTCTAACTTTGCTTTTGTATAATTGACATCCTCATGATTTCTTAAACTCTCTTAGTATCAAAAGACAAGATGTTTCTGTTTCTAACAGACAACAGACTGCGCTACTTTACCTGCCAGTTACTCTTCAGTTTCCATGTCAGAAACCTGCCTAGTTGCAGTGGGAGCTAAGGAAAATCTCCAGTTCATACTGAAGGAAGGGTATAATTCTTGATGGGGTGAGAATGCCTTGCTGAGAACATATGTATTCCTGTATGCAGTGAACCAAATTTCAATAAACTTGCACTTTTAAAAGAAGCAGTTCCTTAAAGTAATTTATAGTAGGAATTGAAAACTAATGACACTGAATGCTAGTAGTTTTACTGTTGATTGTCTGCAACTGAAGTATGAATGTCACTGACATGAGAGAATGGTGTTGAAGAGAAGATAATTATTTCTGATGGTTTATCAGATTATTTAGATGTGGAGCAGGGAATATGCAATTTAAAGCTGTAGAAAACAGTATTCATTTATATTTTATAGTTGCTGGCCACCAAGAGTCAGAAATGGAAAACTTGAGTTTGAAAAGCCTACTTTCTTTCATTTTCAATTTTATTTTTACTGATACTGTATAAAGTTTCACATTATATCAAGTGATTTAACTGTTTTATAACAATTTTATATGCACACAATGTATTTGTTTGTTTATTTATTTTTAGGAAAAATTGCAAAGTTAACTGGATCACTTACTCTAGGGTAAGCTTTAACTAAGGCTTAGTCTATACTAGAGTTCTCTAACTTTACAATTCCAAGTCTTCCAGCAAACTCTGAATGCATTCACACCCAAACCACTCTGCAATGGCAGAATCCTCTGCTTTGCCAGAAGTATTACTCTACCTCTGCCAAGTACAGTAAGGCCCCTGCCACCCTGTTGCACTCAATTGCTGGAGCCTTCCCAGAGTGCACTTCATGCTCTGGCAGCACAGCTGTACAGTGGAAGCACCAGAAGCAGGGCTGGGCCACTCAGGGCCTTGCTCAGCCCTGAGACAGGGCTGAGTGCATGGTTGGTTCAGCCCAGGGAGATACCACATTAGCAAACTCTGAATGCATTTGTACCCAAACCCCTCTGCAATTGCAGAATCCTCTGCTCTGCCAAAAGTGTTATTCTGCCTCTGCCAAGTGCAGTAAGGCCCCTGCCACCATGTTGCATGTGATATGGTGGCTGCTCTCTGGTGGCAGAAGCATCTAATATAGACAGTCTAAAGCAGGGGTAGGCAAAGTTTTTTGGCCGGAGTGCTGAAAAACACCACAATGCCTACCTTGGAAGGTGCCGGAGTGCCGGCATGCCAGAAAAACAATGAGGGCAAGGGGTACATAGCAGGATGCCCTGCTTGTGTCCCTGCCCCCCAGCCTGGGGTTTGTGGCTGTTAGCAGCTACCCCAGCTCTGGGTAGCTGCTGGAGCCCGGGTTGCTCCCAGCAGGGCTTGCAGCATCCCAGCTGCCTGCTGGGAGCAGCCAGGGCTCCCGGCTGGCAGCAGCTACCCAGAGCTGGGGCCGGCTACAGCCGGGAGGCTCCAAACACCTGTGCTGGGCTCCGGCACATACCGGTACGTGCACCCACGTGTCGGAGTGGGTAGTGGGGGAGGGGCCTGAGGCAGCGCAGCTCCAGTCTCTCCCCCACATCCAGCACAGAGGTGATGGCAGGGTTCTTGAGCCCGGCACAGCTGTTTGTAGCCAGCCTGGGCTCTGGGAGGCTGCAGCAAGCAGCAGGCAGGCTGCAAACAGCTGCGCCGGGCTCCACAGCGACGGCATCAGCTCCGTGCTGGCAGCGACTGCATGGGCACCTTCGGGGACGACTGCACTGCCCTGCTGTCTGGGGGTTGCCAACCCCTGGTCTAAAGTATATGTATAATTTTTATTTGATGTTTAAATCTGAAGTTCAGAAAAAGTGGTGTTAGTAAGAACATGAGATACCTTTAATTTTAAACCATCATTCTGAAAGTGTTTTTCCATTATATAGTACCATTTACTATGATTTTTCTTCCATCAGGCTGGTTGAAAAAGTTGTATTAATCTGTGCAAAATATATACAATATTATGTGAATCTAAGACAACCCTGAATTTAAGATGACCCCCCCAATAATTAGATTCTAGACATGGAAAATTATGACAAATTTATAAATGTTACGTGTCTAGAATCTAATTATTGGAGGGTTGTCTTTAATTCATCCCTCCCACTGCTGAAGGGGGTCAGGCAGTGGAGAGGCAGGTGGCATGGGGAGGTCAAGCAGCCTGCTCCCTGCTTGTGCCTGACCCCATGCCACCTCTGTGCTTCTCCTCGCCTCTGCACTCCCTCTCTCCTCAGAGCCTCTGCTCTGCGCTAGCAGACTTCATCCCTGTTCCTGTCTGAGGCACTGAACATGGGCCCGGCCCAGCCTAGCCCCCATAGCAGCCTTGTGGGGAGGGGAGAGATAGCAGGGTGCAGAGACAGTGGAGGGAGGAGAGAAGGCAGGCAGCAGCTCTGGCTACAGCCCCAACCCCAGGTAGGAGTTTTTCCTTTAGAGCCCAAGCCATAGCAGCTGCCTGCCCCCCTGCACTGCCATTGTACTTGAGTCTAATACCAGGATCTTTTCTCACCTTGTTAAATGGGAGGCGGGGGGACCTTGCCATAGAATTGAGTAAATATGGTATTTGCCAAAATAGCATTTTACCTTGAAATAGTTTTAATCTGTATTTGTCTTCATCATTCTTTAGATTTTTTTCAAATATTCATATTCTGTGTTCTTGTTTTAAGAGGTTTTGTATTCATTACATATGAAGTCCTGGCTCTAAAGAAGTTACTGAAAATTGATACCCAAGCAGTACAGCAAGAGAAACTGAAATCCTACATTTATGTTCATAGAGCTTCTCTAGATCCGAGTGAATATCAAGGTAAGCAACGTAAGACTGTCTAAGAAGAAATTGAGAGAGCAGCATTTCAAACAGTGCATGAAACACTGGAATGATAAAAAGGCAGCCAAAAGAAATGAGTAAAGACCTATGACTAGGGAGACCATAGTAATCTGAAGGAAATCCAGAGCAGTGGGGATCCAGGGGGTGGGGCCAGGCAGGATAGTGTGGCATGCACACACACAGGCACCCCACCCCACAGCTCCCAAGAACACACACACACCCCGCTAAGCCTGTGGCTCCCAGGAGCAGGGCCAGGCAGGACACAGGCCACGGAGCAGCACGTTAATTTGTATAACCCACAAATGCTCAATTGTCATTCTAGTTAAAACTGTATAGCTATTTTTTTTAACTGTATAGCTAGCTAAATTAATGTACTAAATGTTGGTTGGGCCATGGCCCAGGTGGCCCACCCTGTTCCGTGGCCTGTGCACACAGCCCCAAGCCCACAGCTCCCAGGAGTGGGGCTGGGCAAGAAACACTCCTTCCTTCCCCCTCCTACTCCGCCTGCAGCTCCCTCCCTCATTGCATGGATGCACGCGTGCGCGCACACACACACACAGACGCACACAAACCTCCCTCCGCTCCTCCTTTCCCCCCCGTCTTCAGCTCCCAGGCACAGGGCCACGCAATGACTCTATGGCTCCCTTACCTTCTCTGCTGGGGAAGTGACTCTGCTCACAGCCCAGCAGGTCCAGGCCAGGGAGCAGCCCATTGGCTGGGCTCCCTGGAGAAAATTGGAGCAAAATTCTTGGATTGGTTCAAACCCACCCACATGTACCCAGCTCCTGACTCAGGCACGTGTGGGCAAGTTCCCACCAATCTGGGACTTCGCTTCAATTTTCTCCAATGGCTGGGTTGCTGAACAGCCTCTGCAATTCGGGACTGTCCCAGCCAATCCAGAACATATGGTCTTCCTACTTATGATAGGCATTGGTGGATCCTATTCTACCTAATATCTGTCCACATATACATATATTATTCTGTTTCTCAGATGCATAAGTGGCATTTAATGCAACTTTTAGATCCTAAGTTGCCCTGTACTGGGTCAGTCAAGAGGGACAGATATGTGGGGCAAGCAAGGGCAGTCTGACTCTGTGATCAATGAGGTAGGCACTGCCACTGAAACAAGGGAGCCCAGGGGCACTGGTTCCAGTTCCCACATTGTTTTTGCATTGTATCCAGTGACTGTTTAGAACAGGTTTGGGCAAAACGATGGATCCGGCCAGTGACCAGACTCCATTTCCCAGCAGCTCCAGGGAGACCCTGGGAGTGGTGCTGGCAGGGCATGTAACTGAGGGGGGTTGCTGCTGTAGAGCTGGGGCCAGAATCTTACGGCAGTGACACTGTGGGGCTAGAGCCAGGGCAGAACCACAATCCACCGCCTGCACACCCCCGTCTGTGGAATTCCTACTTGTTGCAGGGGCATGTGGGACAGCAGATCATAGCTCTGCCACAACCCCGGCCCCTCCAAGATCCTGGGGTCTCCCTGGCTCCTCCCATCCATGTTGCTTTTGGCCATGGCGCCATCCCAGCCACTCAGCCATGCTCCCTGCCTGCACAGGTCCCGCCCCTGGTGGTGGGCAAGTGGTAAATGGGCTGGGGTACCCAGGCAGCAGGGTTGGGTCTGGCAGCAGCAGCTGCCTCAAGGGCTTCTGGAAAATAGTGTGCTGCAGGCCTGATCCGCTCCCCCGGTCACCACCCGCCCCCCCCCCCCCCCCCCCCCCCCCGCCTTAGAACATAGTGCCTACATAATACAAATAGTGCGTTATGCCTGAGGTTGTATGGAGACACTTGCGTTACAGACTCCTGCTTTATTGCCACGAGACCATTATTGTCCAAGCAGAATGGATAGGAATTTTATTGCATGTGTATATTTCAGATGAGAACTGTGAGGACCGAATTCTCTTATTTGTCTACCTTGAAAGGATAAAAGGCTAAGTTTAGCCCTAATCCAACTTAAATTTATGGCTTCATGAAGGTTGGTTAATTTTAAACCTCAGGCACAGACTTAAAGCCACATCTCTAGCTTATGAAAATTACCTAAGGTCTGTTTTCCTTTCTGTATATATTACACGTACAGTGTCACACCTACCTAAAAAAAAAATAGATTCCCTGAACTGTGAGAACTACCAATAAGAATAAAATGGATGATTATTTTTTAAGCAGCAGTTACTAATGGAGAATTTTTTTACATAGTTTATTCCTTTATCATTACAATTGTTAGCTTCAGGGTGTGTAATGCTGTCAGAATTCTTTTACTAGCATTGAATACGTCTAAATGTCTTCCTAGGAATCACATACCAGGCAAGAAAAGAACTTCATAAAGCAGTGAGGAAAGTATTACAAGCTGAAGCTAAAATTCTCCGGAGACCTTTTAATGGTAGGTATTAAAAGAATGGAAATGTTGGGTTGTCTGAGATTAATACTAATTTCATAGCAAAGTACAGATCTATTATCCTTTAAAAGTAGAAACATCTTTCTTGTATACCTAGTTATTGCTTTACAGTTACATATTCTTACATGTTTCAAGGCACTAGTAGGACTGTGATTTAATACTGTTCCATGTCACTTCTACAAACAATTTTTTAAAATAGAAGGCAAAAGGCTTTCCATGAGAAAAATACTGGTGAAATTTTCTTTTTTCAGTAGAGATTTGAATTGAAGCTTAAAAATTGTCTGATGCCAAAAGCAGGACTGGGATACGAAGTCCTGGAAACTTGTTCATTTAAGGAGTTAGGTACAAGTGTGTGACACTTTGCAGCAGGATTACTGATTACAACTGAAAGTGACACAAACTTTGTCTAATGATAAAGTTTGTTAGAGCACAGAACTCAGAGTCAGTACTTAGGAGTTTAGTGCCCTCTATTTGAGGTCGCATCTTAGGCAAGTAGCTGTCTATCTGCATTAATTTACCCATCTGATGAATGGATATAGTAATATGCACCTTACAAAGGTGCTGTGACTTAAATGACTACGGTCACTTCCATCTTCCACTGAAGCTGATGTCAGTTATGGTTGGTAAACTCCATTCAAGATCTAGTCTATAATATTGATAAAGCATTTTGAGATCTTCAAATTAAAGATGCCATGTAAGTACAAAATCTGTACACAAGGATTGAAATCAGGGCACCATTAAAATTAATAGAGGAACTACTCTTGATTTCAATATGGCAAGCATTTTATCTAGGACCTTTAGAAGATTGTTACTTAAAAATGTCTAAAATTATTTATTATTCTATACGTAGTTATCAAGTTTATTATTATTTAAATAAAAATGTAAGAAATGCTTTCTGATATTGTTAACAGAATTATTTTTGTGTGTGGTATATTTTTGTAAAGAACACTTCAGTACATTTGATGCAGAAGAGCATGAATGTGCCTTATGGCTGCTCCTGAAGAGAAGTCAATCAGAGGACAAAATGGTTAGACTGCAAGCTGTACAAGACTTGGCAAGGAACAGTCACTGGCATGGTAATGTCTGTTGGGGTAATCTGGTTAGCCTTGAAATGTGACAAGATCTTATTTAGCTGATCTACATCCATTGATAAATCCTATATGAAAGAAGGATGATGGTTGAAGGGAGGTTAAATACCTTATTTTCTCACATACACTATGTAACTTTCCTTCCAAAATTGGCATGTGTGTTTTAAGTGGGGAAGCTGTTTTCTTTGCTGGAAAAGAAGCAAGCTTGGAGAACCATGCATACCAAGATTGCAGGCTCCTGTGTTAATTCTCTCAACCATAGCTGTTGGCTGAGCACTGTAGCTTGTGCCTGCAGCAGCAGGTGAGCTGCTAGTAGTATTTTGCTGAGGTTGGTAATGTGGAACCTACTTGTGTAAATATTGTTAAAAAAAATGTTCTGTTTAACTTCCTGTGACTGGTCAGGGAGTTCTCACCTGTCACAGTGCTACTGGTCTTCCACCTGTCTCTTGGCACCCAGCCCACCCATCTCTCCTGCCATGCCTTACTGTATATTAATTATGTTGTTACATAAGCGGGAGGGCCCTGATGTTGGAGGGCCAAAATACATGCTCCAATCTCCCCTACGTGTCCCATGCCTCGCTGATGGTTCTCACAGCTGTGCAGTGTCCCTGCCTGAGGCCAGGCCCAACTCAGTATAGTGTTGAGCCTCTTCCATTCTGCCCTGTTACAGGCCACACACACCACCCCTCTCTCACTCCACCAGCTCTCACCCAGTCTCTATCATGCTGCCCTCTTCAGGGCCACACTCATACCACCAGTGCCCTACTCATAGAGTTCCTCAGCTTCACTCTCCACCCTTTGGTCAGACCTGGCACAGTCTTTTGGACCTCTCCTGCAGTCCAAAAGGCTCCCTAAGGCTTACCTGGACCATGCTGGACCTTCTCCTCAGGGCCTCAACTTTTTCACCCCACTTTTTTTTGATCTCCGGGCCTCGACTTCCTCACCCCAGCACCCAGGCCTCTCATCTGGAGGCATGCACCAGACCTATCTCCCTTGGCCTAGCACCCAGCCTTCTGTCTGGAGGCACACACTGGGCCTACCAACTCTCACCCCTCTTCTCACCCCTTCCTGGAACTCACAGGGTCTTCACCCAAATGGCTCAGGTGTCCCTTGCCCAGGCGTGCCTGGCCCCTACTACCCTCGCTACAGGGTCTTGCACCCCACTGAGCTCAGGTGCCACTCGTGAGCATGCCTGGCCCCACCACCCACTGTCTGGGGTCTTGTACCCGCCGGGCTCAGGTGACCGTAAATGGCCCTGTCTCTCTGTCCGATGTTAAGTGACCCACCCAAAGGCAGGGCTTGGGGTTATTAAAGCACCCCACCCACCTTTCACCAGGGAGGTGAGCAGTTCTGGTATTTAAGCAGCAGTTACTAATGGAGAATAGTAACTCTCCATTCCTACCATTCAGCAGTCCTGCCAGGCCTTCCTTCCCCAGCAGAGTGAAGTTTTAGGTCATGTCCAGGGCCAGGAGCCTCCTTGCCAACCCCCTAGCTCCTGCCCTTACCTCCAGGTTGTCCCCAGAGCAGCAGCTCCACCGGGAGATAGCAATTCCATGGCATCAAGCAGCAACTGCTGCCTCCAGCCCTGCTGGCCTAGGACTTAAAATGGCTGCTCATCAGGGCTGTGCTTAACCTGCCTGCTGCCTGACCTAGGTCTTAAAGTGCCAGAACGCTTTAGATGCTCTGACACCTCCATTCCCCCTTAAAATACTTGCCAGAGAAGGCTTTTCCTTGCTGCTCCTCCAAAATGGGCTCACCCAGAGCCTGTGATAGCCCTTCAGTGGTGAGCACCTCACTGGTGCTCCGCCACACTTCCTCTAATTATATCAGTTAAATGGTTAAAAAATAGCACTTACTTAGTTTAGTGACCTCTGGCAGGAAAGGCCCCAGCCCTGGGCCCAGCCCCTTATGTCTTCACCATGCGCCTGGTGCTGCACAGGTGTTGGACTGCTGGTGGCCCTCCTTAGCCAATCCTGAGGGAAGGAGGGGTCTGGTCCCAGCTGGGCAGCCTTCGCTGGGTGCACAGCATCCTTCCCCCTCCTACCAGTGGCACTGGTGCCATGCAGGGCTGGGCCTGGCCCAGCCCTGAAGCAGGGCTGAGTGCATGGCTGATTCGGCCCAGGAAGATGCCACAACAGCAAACTCTGAATGCATTCACACAAACCCCTCTGCAATGGCAGAATTCTCTGCTCTGCCAAAAGTGTTGCTCTGCCAAAAGTGTTACTCTGCCTGTGCCAAGTGCAGTAAGGCCCCTGCCACCATGTTGCATTCAATAGCTGGAGCCTTTTCTGAGTGCACTGCATGCTTTGGGAGCATAGCTGCTCAGTGGAAGCACCAGAAGCAGATAGAATGTATGTGCTATGATGGCTGCTGTCTGGTGGCAGAAGTAGTGAATATAGAGTTAGCCTATAAGTAGGCCTATAACTTTTGTCTGTTGTTTAAATCTGAAGTCCAAAAAAATAGCCATAGAAAGAACATGAGAGACCCTTAATTTTTGAGGGGTGGTACAGCAGGGATTCTGGGGGATACACTAGGGCTGCAACAACGGCCTCCCAGGCTGCAGCTGCTGTGCCACCTTTCCTCATGAATGCCCTATAGCCCCTCCTCTCCTACAGAATACTTTTGCTATCCATGAAATCCTTGGCATTTTGGGGGAGGGATTGTCAACAGTTTCACTGGTCATGGTGGCAGTTTTGTGATGTCCACTAGGTATTGGATGGAGACGTCTAACTTTATTTTTCAAAACTACTTAACAATTGTTTAGTAACAACTACTGATCTGTGCTTGATTTGAAAGCTCAATCAAGGGGATTTAATGCACCGTTATTCATAAGCCATTCATTCCATAGTGTTTCTTTTTTATTTTTGTGAGAGCTAAGAGAAGAGGTAGAAACCTCCCCCACACTTGAAAAAAATGGAAGATTTATTTTAATTATGCCAGCTTGGCTTGTGTTCCTGTTATAAATTATAGCTCCCAGCAGTTTATTATAAGTGCTGACATTCTCTGTGTGGAAGGAAGCTTTTTTTTTTTGTGCTTACTCTTTTCACAATGAGAGCTAAGTTCTGTTTGTAGCTTCTTTATTATGAACTTACATTTAAAATGAGGATTTTGAAATACTCTGCCTTGACAAGGTTTATTTTTCTATTAATAGTGGTAGAATTGTGTGACAGCTACCAGTTTATTCTGTGCCACTACAGCAGTGCTAAAATGAATACTTGCGTCCAGCAGTTCCACTCTGAAATTTTTTCTTCTGGGTGTAGAATTACAGGAGTTCTGTTTTTTGTGGCTTTTTTTCTTGCAGTATGGCCTTAAAGACTAGGCCTGTACAGTCAGGCATGGAATAGCAAGGAAAGGGTATTAATTTTGAAAATCTGATTAGGATTTTAAAATAAAAGATCTCTTTAAAATGAAAGATCTCACCTGTTTTTATTTATCTTGGTTGTGGAAGGATTAGGAGCCAGTCATAGAAACAGAGTTGGGTGCACTGAGATCAGAGAAGGGGAGGGGAGGGTGTGGGTCTGGTTGGACAAGGAGTCTGAGAATAGGAATCAAAGAGCGCCTATACATGAGTGCAGAGGCTGCTCTGATGTGTTGGAGCAGACTTGAGTCTGTTGGAGTGTGGCAATTACCGTGCTCCAGCATCCTCCTGCATCTTGTGTATCAGTGTCTCCATGCTTAAAAATGCTGGTGGGGGCACTTGAACTAAAGCTTGTCGAACATCCCCATCGCCATTTTTAAGTGCAGGGATGCCAACACATGAGATGCGGCAGCACTTTAATTAGAGTGGCTCTCAGAGCCGCTCTAATAAAAGCGCCTCCCCCTCCACCCTGGGAACATGTGTAAAAGTGCCCAGCCCAAATCTAGGGGAACAGCTCATGTGAAGGAAGAAGAACTGATTTGCTGAGAAACCAGGGCGCTGGGTTAGAACTGGCATTGGCTGAACAAAGAAACTAGGACCAGAGAAAGGGTAATGGGAGACTGCAGGAAACTGCTGGGAAGGGGTTTTGGGGAGACTGAAGCTGATGTATAGAAATTCATGGAGGAAGACTGGATCTGGAACCAGTGAAAGAAAAACTAGGGAAGGGTGCCAACTGCAGGTTTAAAGGAGGGGAGATACTACAGTTTCAGATAACAAACAAGGAGGGGGCTCTGAGACTAGCTGGAAAGGAGATTGGAAAGGAGACTGAAAACTGAGACTGAGATAAGAAGACTGTATTAGCTAGGCCAAGAGATTGGGGCTGGAATAAGAAGCCCAAAGTGAGAAGGTTGGAGCTGGGTAGATAAGGAGAGTGGGGTAGGGAGGAAGAACCACAAGGGTGGAGAAGACAGAACTGGGACAGGAAGAGGTTGAAGGGGGGATGGGGAAGAAAAGATCACGCTTGGAGGGGTGGGGCGAGGACAAGGAGAAGGGTTTGGGCACATTGAGGTACTCTTGCCTCCAGAGTCTAGAATAAAACCCATGATTTCTGAGGCTCATACTTCCCTTGCTGTCAGCATATTTGTGTCAAACCCACTGGCCAAGTGTTTGTTTCCTCTTTGCCTGCAGCTGGCACATATGGAGAGTGACATTCTATTTATTGCTATCTGTTATCTCTGGTGGTAGAGGTCTGTGTGAAGATCTCAGACTTCAGTCCTGGTAACCAGGTAGTTGCCAATATGATGCCTTATGAGGAAATTTCTGTTATCTCCTGTGTGTTTTTTGAAAATTCTGAGAAACTGCATAAAAATTGCATAATAAGTTTGGAAAGTGAAATGCTGAGAAGTTAGGAGATCATGTGCCAGAAGCAAGGATGCTTGTACCACCTTAATTTGCCCCCCTGGCATGTATGACTTCAGACACTGTCTTTAATTCAATGATCTCATGATATTTTTCTCCAGGACTTCTGTCTCCTGGGATGATCACTGCTCAGTTAACAAGATGCTGTTCAGAACTCGTTTCCCTTTCTTTTCCAGCATAGTGTTCAAATCCTGGTTCCCCCTTCCTTGCCCCTCCCCCCACCCATGGTGCCCATCATTGTAGCATCTTAGTGTCTCAAAAACATTAATGGTATTCACTGCCATTTCAGTGAAATATGAGGTTGGTATTATCCCCCATTTTATCCCCACTTTACAGATGAGAAAACAAGAGTCCTACAAACAAAGTTCTGCATAATTGGCTATACAGCTCTGATTCATCCTCAGAAAAGATCATTCCTGTGCATTGAATAAGATGAGGGTCCCCAGGGGAAAAAATGTATGATCCTGTAAATAAGGACAGTAGCATATACAGCCAAGCTTACTTCTTTCATTTTCTTACAGCCTTAATAATCTATTGAAGCATTGTTTCTGTGACATTTAAGATTAGGCATTGATGTAAGTCTTTAAAGCATGTGAATCTATACCACCATGTTTTTTTTTAATATATATTCTCTGTAGCATAACATTAAAATATCTTTAAAAGCTTTGTCTGTATCTAGAGTACAGGGCTGGGTATAGGCATAGTCTTGATTCATAATTTTTGTTTTCTTTTAACTCTAGACACCTGCTCTCACACATGATTGACAGGTATCTAAAGTCTTTTATTACAGAGACAAACATTGGCCTAAAAGATTAATTAATACCCTGCAGTTAAAATGTCATTTCAGTTTAATGTTGATCTGCCAACTATTTATTTTTCCCCTTTGGATTTTGTGACTCAGAGTCATGGAAACCTTATAGTTTATTTATGTGGATTGCAGTAATGATTTTCTGTTAGTATGTATATTTCTGAAGTACAGCAGCTAAAATTGACTAAAATTTTCAAGGCTAGGTTTGACCCTAACATTGAGGTTCTCTTGCTACAGATTATCAGTATAGAACAGCTGCCCAAGCCTGTGATCAGAGGACTGCTATTGGTTTGGCTCGGTCCCAGGATATTGATCTTCGTTTTTTCTTACCTCCACCTCCCTTACCAAAAGTAAAGGATGTAAGTAAATGAAAATGTGGGTATAACTTGAGTCTGCTGAACTGTCTTTGCTAGTAAAGACAGCAGAGCTGTTTTGTTTTAAAACAATTCCACTGATAGATAGTAAAATGAAGATAGATCTTGGAGTTCTGACATGCAAGAACACAATGATGTGATGGGATAAAACCTATTGTTTTCACATGTTATGATATGGAACCCAAAATATTGTTGTCCTCTTTCTAGAATTTTTATCCAGTCAGTTTGCTGACTGAAAAGTCACAGAAGTATTTTGAGGTGAGATTTGCTATTACTGCAATAAACTTCATTTTACTTATCTTTGTCCCCTATAACATTTGCAGCACTGCAGAATTAAAACTTGTACCAAAAGCTTCATTAAGATTGAATTTAGCTCACCGACACGTATTGCATGTCAGCAAAATCATAAAGAAGCAGAGAAATAACCATTTCAGCAAATATTTATTATCCACAATAACCTAGTCCCATGAGTTTAGCTCCCTAAATGCCTTCAGAGATTTTTACAGGTCTTTGGCACGCTATAGATGGACACCCCCCCCAACCCATCACCCTGTCAGCCTAGCTTTATCTGTGGGCATGTGGTAAAGCTCACCTTTCTCCTAGGCTTTTGGGTAAGCAATTAACGTAGGGTTGAATGGGTTTAACTTTATTTTAATTTCATATTAACTGGGGGTATTTGTGTGTCAAGGCAGGTTGAGTAGTCCTTGTACTATTATACTTCAGTGCAGTACAGGAGATCATCTAGCTTGAATCTTGTTCTAGCCAGTAAGGAGGGATTGATTGAGAATATGAAGGTGATTAAAAACTTCAGAGGAAGTGGTCTTGGTACAATATGACTCACCACAGCTTAGGCCTTATCTAGAGTGTTGTGTGCAGTTCTGGGCTTCACATTTTAAGAAGGATGTGGAGAAGTTGGAGAGGGTCCAGAGGTTGGAAAAAATATGGTATAGGATTTGAAAAACAAGCCATACAAGAAAAAGTTGAGCGGACAAGGCAAATTTGCTTTGAGAAAAGGCGAGTAAGATTGGGGGGGGGGAAGGGGGCAGGGCACATGATAGCAGTTTTCAAATATTTGAAAGGCTGCCATAACAAACAAGGAGAACAACTGTGCTAAAGTTATAGAAATGAGAAAATATGCAATTTTTGTTTTCTTGAATAAAATGGAACCATATAGTTCAGAGGCAGGCAAAACATGGCCCGTGGGCTAGATCTGGCCTGCCAGGCCATTCTATCCAGCCTGTGGGGCTCCTAAACATTTAGAAAATTAATATTTATCTGCTCCTGGCTTCCTGTCAAAGATGACAGGAGCTAGGGGCAGTTGGACACAGGGGAAGCCAGCAGGACCCAGCAGGCAGGCCCGCCTAGCCCTGCCCCACCACCCAGAAGCCTCTGCCTAGTAGAGCCTTCTGGCCTGGGACCCTGAAGCTGTTCCTGCCTCCCTATGCCGGAGAGAAATTCAAGTAAGAGTCAGGTGGAGGGAAGCAGAGGAGGACCGTGGGGATTGTTCCAGCCCTCGGGGCCAGGCCAGGCTGGCTCCTGCTGAGTCCTGTGGTCCGGCAATGCAGCTTGGAGCCATATGGTACAGGAGCACCCAGTGGGCAGGCAGGGAAGTTCTGAAAGTGGCCACAGGTGGGGGGTAGTAGCAGCAGGTGGGCAGGAGCACAGCAACAGCTGGGCAAGAGAGCAGGGCCTGTGTCAGTGTCCTGGGGCCAGCAGGAGTGTGGGGCCCAGGCCAGCAGGGGCTCTGGAGCTAGGCTGGCTCCTCGCTCTTACTGGTGGTGCAACCAAGCCCAGCTCCCATGCTCCTGCTGCCCCGCCCTAGGCCCTACTGGCGCTGGCTGGGGACATCAGCATGGGCCCTGTGCTCCTGCCCAGGCTTCGTTGTGCTCATGCATGCCTGCTCACTCCCATTCCTCCCATCCCCACCCCCGCTGCCGCTTTCACCACTTCCCTGCCCGCCTGCTGGCCACTCCAACACCATGTGGCACCCAACTGCATAGCCAGACCACAGGAGCATGGGGCCTGCGCTGGTACCCCGGGGCCAGGAACAGGAGGGTGTGTGTGTGTGTGTGTGTTCACGTCCATGCAGTGAGGGAGGGAGGGAGAGCAACGAGGGAGGGACAGAGTATGTGTGCAATGAGGGAGGGAGGGACAGAGTGTGTGTGGTGTGTGTAATGAGGGAGGGACAGTGTGTGTGTGTTCATACGGTGAGTCCCACACACCCCACCATACACATACACCCACACACCCCCTTGCACTGCCATACACACAGACCCCCACACCCCCACCCCCCCACAGAGCCCCCACACACCCACATGCTCCCTCACCCTACAACCTCCAGCACACACCCACACCCTCCACCGCACCCCACATACCCACACGCCCTCAGCCCCCCCACAAGCCTTTAACCACCCCAATATACAAGAGTAAGACTTCATTTTAAGCTATTGTGCAATCACCTCTGTGTACACTACACAAACGTATGTAAATCAGGACAAAAATATTTTTTGAAATCAAATTAATAAATGTTGTAGATGTTCGATTTTTAGAATATAATTTGGTATTTTTCTGGTTCCAAGATGGCAAAACCCCTTGCTGAAAGGAGTACTTCCAGGGGCATGGGGAGGGATTTTAGTGGCAGAGGTCAGGGGTTAGAGGGCAGGACTTCTAGTCACAAAGTGGCCATCAGGGTGTGGGGAACCTGTCAAGGGGTGGGGCTACCTATGCGGTCCTCAGCACCTTGCTAAAACTCAGTAAATGGCCCTCCGCCCAAAATAATTGCATGCCCTGGAGCTATTATATGGGTCTACCAGTACCCACATGTCTCACTCTTGAAGTATAGGACCCTGATTAATCAGGACACGTTATATCTTCTGATATGCCAGATTATAGATAAGGACTTTTCTTCTTCACAGTACTTTATAAGTAAATATAATGATCCAGATATGCATGGAAGCAGTATCAGGTATAGGCTTAAAACTCACTAGTCACAAGCTCTAAATCTTGTGCCTTGCTCCCTTATGCCTTGCATTTCTTCTAATCCTTGCTGTGAGCTCCTGGCCAAGTAACTTCTCTTCACTGTAACTGTGTCTTCCCATCCATGGCCAGGGTGTTGTGCGGATTTTTTAAAGTTAATATTTGCACTAATACTTTGAAGGTATAGAATTCAAGAAGTGGTAACTGATATATTTCTAACCTGCAATGCCATCATTTTATTTCTTAATTATGATGTTATTGTTGGTCAATAAAATTGTACTTCCTTATTCTACAGCATTAGTCACATGGGGATTACCATGTTAAATTTCAGGCTGTACCAAGCTTAATTTATCCAGTTTCTGTAACACAGGTCAATAAGAACTGTTCCTTTGTTTTTTTCTCTTGGAACAGAATAAGGCCTAAATCTAGAAATTTAAACCTGACTTTCATTGACTGACTTTTCCACCAATAATAATAAATTGGCTCTTTGTAGCACTCTTTACCCCCAAAGTGCTTTGCAAACATTAACTAATAACTCTAGGTTACAGAGCACATGAACCAGGCCTTTTATTTTATGTCATTGCTTCATGTAACAACTTCCATTGCTCCAGATTCTTATTTTTTTTCACATAATATCCTGCTGCATTCCTTTGGAGAGTATGTTGACAATTATTGGTGTGTATTTATCATAGGATTATGCTATAGAAGATGAGCTCCGATTGTTGCTGGTATCTTTACCTCAGACTGATCTTGACCAGTGTGTCCAGTACTTCACATCTCTGGCTTTACGAGAAAGCAGTCAGACTCTTGCTGCCCAAAGGGTGAGCTTTCAAATGCAGAATTGCATGACATAAGTTCTCTTCTTAAATATGGTTTATCAATATTTGGAAAAAAGCAAGTAATATCTGGAAAGTTCAAGGGCAATGGGAACATATTTCACAAATCTGAGATTTCTTAGGGTAAGAGAAATATGAAGAATCTTTGTAGTATTACTCTTGGAGGATGGGTGAAGTTAAACCTCTTCTAAGTAAATAGTTTAACAGTTTACATAGAAGCCTTACTTCCCTTTGTAGTGCTCTTAAAATTATTTCTAGTCCACTTTAGTTTACTGTTGTTTATTTCAGTGATGTTTATTGCTGAGATTGTTAACCCTTATTAATCAAGTGAGAGAACAGCCTGGAGATGCTTCTAAGGTTTTAAATTTTACGTAACTATCATCCGGAAATGACCATCCCTATGGTAGTGCCAAGGTAACAGGAGTCAAGATGCTTCAGAGATCTGAGCCTGGACTTGGAAGCTAGGAATGGTTTGAGTCGCAATCCACTGATTTACCAGTTGGGCTTAGAGAGGTCACTTAAAGCAATTATTGCTAGTGACTAAAAATGGTAGGTTGCTTGTCAAGACACTTGTCTATGTGTATGTGACTCATATCTCCCTGACTTTAACAAGCAAAGAAGTTTACTGTTTGTTATTTCTGTTAGCACTACAGAATTAAAGTCACTGAAGTAGAGCAAGCTAAATTCTTTCCTGGCTTGCATGATAGCAGTAGAAATGCTACAGTTGAGGAATTTTCATTGTTAAAGTTGTACAATCCAGAAGGGATCTGACCTGGCTCCTGCTTCCTTAGCTTTATTTTCAGGATTGGATATTGGCAGGAGATGGAAGAGGAAATAAACACTTGTAAAATGAATATGCTTAATGTGGAATAAATTAGAGCAAGAGAATAACATTCAGCCCTTCAAGGCCATTTTTCAGAGAGAGTTTTCAGAATGAGAACCACACGTTAACATGGATTTTTTTCTCATTGTTCTTATCTATAAAATGGGATCGGACTGTCTTGGATAATGGTGTCTTTAACATAGAGTGCAGCCCCAGAATATTTTACCTACTGTATCCTTATGGGCTGTAAAAAGTGATTTTTATATTGAAGTGTAATAGAATGATCAAAGTCGTCTTTTTAATAACAATGTTTACCTTTTATGGGACATTTTTCTTCCATAGATTTAAAAAAGTAGAGGCTTTATTTCTCCTTAAAATTGTATGCTGCATTTTCACCAGTAGGAATGTTTTGTTATGGACAATTTGAAAGGATGAAGCTTTCCCTTTCCTCACACCAGGCTGATCCTACCACCCTAGGAATGACACTGGCCTTTTATAGATTATGGATAAGTGAGGGGGAGAGCACATGTTTATCTCCTCAAGTCTCTCTCAATCAGTGGTTCTCAACCTTCTCAGACTCAAAGTAGCTCTCAGGAAGATGCCAGATCTTAGTTTTCACTCATTTTTTTGACTATGGAAAAATAATAGAGCAATTTCTATAGCAGAAAAACTCAGACCACAGCAGGTCAGCATTGTGAACAGGAATCATTATAATCATACAAATGGAAATCCTGCTTGCTCTTTTATTCTATTTTGTAGTTATTAGGATATAAACTACTAATCTAACAGGATGTCTTTTTTTTTTCCTAGACAGTCCATTTTTTCAGTATGTATTGGTTGTTGTTTTTTTTAACATGATGCATACACACCAGTAACTGCTATACCAGCTTTACAGGTCAATGCACACTTGAACATTTTTAAAAAGCAAATGAAAAGAACTTCTTATTTAACCATTTGAAATTGATGTAATGCTTATTGATTCTTTTTTCAGGGGGGGTTGTGGTGTTTTGGAGGAAATGGACTTCCTTACTGTGAGACTCTGAGTAAAATTCCTTCAGAGACTGTCGAACTCTTCTGTTTACAAGCATTAGTTCAACATTCAAAGGTAATAAATGGATAAAGTTTTATGTTAACAGAGTGGGATGCATGCTTTAGTGGGGCCAAAGTGGGAAACTTGTATGATTTTATGGAATTCCCAATTGGATATTTTCTCCCAAGAAGCTCCATACAAATTCCCTGGTATTAAAATTGTGGAGCCTCTTTTAAGACTTTCTCCATGGCACCAATGGCCAGGAGGAACTGGGGCATGTGCTTGGCATCAGCATGGATCTTTCAGGTTTGTGACAAGCTCTAACAGGTTTTTTCAGTGTGAGGCAGTTACCCAGTAAAACTACAAGACAATCAGGGACAGGCTTCCTGAGGAGATCCTTGTGCAGTGTATCTCTTCCAGAGCTTCGACCCTTAAGTTCTGATGGAGAAGATCTTGCTACAGTTAGCCTTACGTTACTGTCGCTGAGATCAGTGTTCCTGTTTTGCTGAGTGGTAGCAGGTGTCCAAGGTTTTGTAGGGCAGCTGCTTTGCAAAGGAGATAATTGGTGATGTGAGTCTGATTAAAAGTTTAAATTGTCCTGTGTATAAGCACATATCAGTCCTGAAACTAAGATGGTGAGGCAGCAAGCAGGCAGTCCCTTCTTTCAGGAGTCTGTCTTACACTAAAGCCTCCTTCCTGGAGAACAACTCTGTCTTATTAAGTGGCTTTAATTTGAAACTAAGATGGGGAGCAAACTCTGGCTAATCACATGACTCTCTCTCCAAGAATCTCTACCTCCACAAAGAGCCTTGCAATCAAAAACTAACATCTGTATAACATGCCTCCCAAAAATGAATGTTTGTTTGCCTATATAAGAAAAACAAATGTGGAACAGTGTGTGACAGTAGTGCCCTGCAATGCCTGCCCTAATAATATGAATTATAGAAGAAGAGTGCAGCAGAGCTCAGAGGTGTGTAAATCTGAAGCTGAGTGAATATATACTGAGCAGTATCTACTGAACTAGAATCTATTTTAGGAATTAGCTAAATGCAACTTGCCTGTGCTTCTACCACAGCTATAGCCCAGTGCTCAGCGCTATCATAAAAAGTTTAATATTGCTGGTGCCTGCACAGCAGCAGTTGTCTACAGTAGAGTTGATGAATGTGGGGTCATCTGCTTACATTGGCTTCTTTGCTGCCATGAAAATCAAGGATGACAGAAGCATATCAGAAATAATGTCATCTCACTGAATGAAAAGGGATAGTGTACGGAGAGCAGAGTAAGCAACCCCAGTGACATATTGCTTTAGTAAGAATAATCTGGGCTCTGGAGAATAATATGCTTGTTTGTGAAGGGCAGCGAGCATTCTTGCTTTCTATTAAATGCAGTAGGCAGTTAAGGCATTGAGCACTTTCACAGTATCATGCTGTCCAAATGTAATGATTGTATAGTTCGTGTACTAAAACGTTTGCCCCTTTTCCAAGTTTGTGGCATTCAAAAACTGAAATGATAAAAATTATGGAAGATGTATTTGTCATAAATTGTTAAACTGGAAGACTTGCACAAAACATAAGCCCCAATCTTAAGTGAAGAATTTCTATGTAAAGTATATATGTAACACATTGTTTCTGCTCTGCCTTCTCTGTGTATTGACAGCATCTCAGGGAACTTTTGCAGAGTTGGGTGTTTGCACAGCTTCCACTTACAGTCACTGTATTTACTATATAATGCTAGGTTTCTACTCACTGTGATAAAATTGAAGCAAAAGGAGGCCTGCAGCTACTCCAGAGGATATACCAGCTCCGTAAGGATTCTGCAAAAATACAAAGGAACATAATTCGTATAATTGGAAATATGGCTTTGGATGAACATCTTCATTCATCCATAGTGCGTGCAGGTAAAAGGAAAGCAAATGGAAACAGTCTGGGTACCTTGCTTCTGTTTTAATTTTGTTAATGAATTCGGACCGTCTGTAAAATGTTCAGTACCCGCCAGTAAGTTGCATCTTTCCTCATTGGTTGTGTTCTCTTGTAAGTATGCCAAGTAGGTCTGTTCTTCTACCATTGGGAGTGAACTGACAAGTACATCTCTTCCTTAATTTTGGAGTAGACCTAATGACTTCTGTTGGCTCTTTCTGCTTTCCTCCCACCCTCTTTAAAAAGGCACCCTCTAGAATTTATGTCCAGTCCTGCAATTACACTGAAGCAGTATCTGTCAGAATATTTTACTAATTTTAGCGACAGTACAGCCATGCTCCATAGAAGAGCTGCTGGGTTCTGTTCATCTAGAACTGGAGAACTCATTACCTGTTTGTCCTGGTAAGATGCTGATCAGAGTAGAAAGAGCCTGTGAGCCCTCCGTACCTTTCTTCTGCTATAAGGGCTGCCAATACAAGAAAAAATGGGGAGGAAATGGTAGAAAATGTATCCATGCTATGATCTCTGACAGACAGCAGGCATTCTTAACTGACTGTTCGATTGTTTCCGACTCTCTAAATGTTTGAGTTCAAGGGATATACAGAAGCTTGGAGGTTCTTCCTGTTGTAATCCAACTATTTTGGTTATTTTCTCTATTGAGTTAAAGAGAACTGAAGTCATATTTTATTTGATGATCTTTTAAAGAAGGATTTTCACATTTCACACCCCTTGGAAATGTGTCTGACTTAAAAAAATTAATTTATGTTTCCATATGTCTTATGACATGTAATTTTTGCTTGTTTTCAAAGTTGTTTTCAAACAAATGTCATCCTTGCAGCCTTTCTTTTGCTCCTTCAATTTTACAATGCTTTAGTAATCCAGAATCTGAGAGGCTCCAGCCCTCAGTGAAATCATGGTCTCTGGGATGATTGCAGAATCCAGCAGAAGGGAGAAGCTGGTTCCGACAGATAAGCTCTTATTCAGATTCCAGTAGCTATATCCGAGTAACAATTAGAATGATGATGGCCAAGTAAATTGCAATTTCATCTCCTTTTCAAGTGGGGTCCCCACTTGACTATCTCTCTTCAAAGTGTTTTCAGATTTTCTTTGCAAAATTAGCTTAAAATAGTTGGGATAAAAAAAAAATTCTTTTAGCTAACATCAACCAGGGTCTTACAAGCAATGATTTAACCAACACAGTTATGGCCTCCTGATTTGTTTCCACATTTCCTCGTTCTTTGTTTATTTTCCTCTTCCACTGAAATTATTTTTTCCTTGACTTCAAATATCTGAGAAATCAGTGAGTCCATTGATACAAGCATTTTTTGTGAAATTCAGTGATTGTTCTATCTGCAAAAGTCGACAATTGTTAAAGGAGAAAAATTGCTTTAAAAATTAATCTTTTAACTGCAAAACTGCATTGGAGAAATTTCTTCTTTGTTTGCCTGATTAGTTTGTTCTGAACCTCTTGTTTCCAAACTGTTTGTCCATAATGGGCTCAGTTCTGGGTTTAATCTCAGCTTCTCTCCTTTTTCTTTTTCTTTTTTTTTTTTTTCTCCTTATGTGACAGAGGTGGGATTCATATTTTTATTTTGATGCTTTAGTATTCATAAACCTTTCCCTTGCCATTCATTCTTAGTAGTCCAAACTGATTGATAACTATTATACCAGTGATTCTCAATCAGCATGCCTTGCAATCCTTTTAAGGGACCTATGGAATGGAATACAATATTAGCACTTTTAGGTGTGTAAACATGAGTCACAAGATAAACCCAGAGATTTCAAATAATTATCCACAGTGTTGAAAATATTTTGACCTGTTGTGGTCATTCTGAGCTTTTTTGCAACAGAAAAAATGTTCTATTATTTTTCTGTAATAAATAGGATGAAAAGTAAGAGTTTCTATGGGGTAGCTTGAGTCTAAAAAGTTTGAGAACCACTGTATTAGATATGAATGTGAGTTATATTGTAGACAACAGGGAACAATGAGATTTTATGTAGTTTCTGCCTTGGGGGTGGGATGGGCAGTTGAGACTTTGTGTTAGGGTGTTGTACAACATTTTGCATTATGCATGCCATTGTTTTGGTAACAGTAATGTGTAAGTAGCATGGTTATGTTTGTGATCATATAGATTTAAAATGTTCTTAATGTATATTCCTTACACCCCTGGGTTTTAAAGTAAAAAATGGTTGTAGTCCCTTAACAAGCATTGGTTTTCTTTCCCATTGTGTCATTCCTGACTGGCAAGCAGAGGCAGCTTTCTCCTTCTACCCAGTCCCAACATGACAGACACTCTTCTTCCTGAATGGCTTCTGGAAGAAAGTTTCTGTGGGCTCATCTACATGTGACCCTACGGCGCTGTTGTTACTGCGCTGTCATTTAGTACTTCCTTTTGGGAGTAATAAATGATGGCATGGTAACAGCCTCTACTGTGACATGCCAGCAGCGCACAATTATTTTTAGCTCCTATGTTGCCATAGCAATGCACTATACTGAGGAAGTATGTTGCTATGGCGATGTAGCAGCAGCATCATGGTTTTTGCCTGCAGACACTACATTGCCATAGTGCGTTGCTATGGTGACGTAGTGTCACGTGTAGACGTGCCCAGTCTTTCTCTGTCTTTCTTCTCCTCTCTTCCCTCTAAATGTAGGAGGGAAAGTTTTCTTTGCCCTACTTTTCCTCTTGTTTTCATTATTTGTGGAGACCTGGGATCTGTGTACCTTTCCTTCCTCCCTCTTTTTTGCAGGTGCTGGGAAGAACTGAAGGATACATTATTTCCTCCCCAGGAGAAAGAAGGCTCTAGTTTCAGATCATAAATTACCAGTTGGAGTTGGAGAGTAATTGCCTACCACATCATTGTGGGATATTTTTTATACAATTCCACATATTACAGATATTTTACTGTGCAGCACTGGCTCCTGTCAGAGACCAGAAAGCTAGATTGAAATTGATTGTGGGTTTTTTTCCCCCTGGTATTACAGTCCTTATGCTCTTACATTTATTTTGGCAAACTTCCTTTTTTCAAATAGGAGATAAACCAATGAAATTTCTGCTATCTTTCTTCCAAATGACAGGTTTTAGTAATTTACAACTAATGTTAGATGTCTGTGTTTTAAACTAGGTTGGGTTTCTGTACTTGCTGAAGTAATGAAGTCTCCTCATGTCATTCAGTTTTCACATGCAGCCAGAGCTCTGGCTAATCTGGACAGGGACACAGTGCAAGAAAAGTATTCAGACGGAGTATATGTTTTACATCCACAGTATCGTAGCAGGTAAAGAGAAAGGGCTATGATCTATCACATGATATTTCTCTTACAAAATACTTCATAATGCTGGAGATAAGGTTGCTGCTGCACAACAGTGACATCTCATTTTTCCTGTCGTTCCGGAGTGGGGGACTTCAGTACCTCAAAGTTAAAACTAGGAAATTCTCAGAGAAACCTCTTTCATGCCCATAAAGAAGTGTTGTTACAGCAAGAAAACTCAGAAAATGTACAGTTAAAGAATTTCTTGACTATCAGTGCAGTAATGCAACTTTGACTCTGCCCTTTTGCAGCGGCAGCACCTTCTTGTAACCAGTCTTTTGGAACCAAAGAATATTTGCCGCCACTGTAGGAAACTAATTGTCACATTTGAAGGTCCTATTTACATTTATTAATGGAAGTCCTCAGTACTATCGTAGTGGACAAAGAGGACTTCACTTATTAGTAAGCAGGATTCTGTACAGCGGTGTTCCCATTTCCTGTTGCCATCCTTGCAGGGAAAAACTTGCATTTGTGCTGTGTGCAACTAGCACTTGCACTGTGCAGTTCCTGTTTTCTGCTGCTCTTGCAAAATCTTCAGGGACTTGCTGTCTGGCATACCTGATTTATTGGCACATGCCCCCTCCACCCCCCAACTTCCTTTCCATTGCTTCTCCTGTACACTAGTAACATATTCTTCTGTCCATTAAATGAGCAAATTTCAGGGTATCTGGAGATGAGAGATTTCCTTTGTCACATTAATAGTGGCAAGAGCTCTTGGTGTAGTATCAGGGACACATTTCTCCCCAGATTTTATGCAAATTTGCCTGGGTATTAAATGCAGAGGGGGAACAGAAATTATCTCTCGGTAGAAAGATTCAGAATGGGACACAGGGTAGAGGCTGCAAGTTAGCACAGGTAGATCTAGAAGGGGTGCAGTGGTGTGGTCTCACCCCTTTTTTGGACCATGCTGCAGAAGCAGCAGCCAGGAACTTTTGAGTCCCCAAGCAGGTAACAATTCCCCACCCCTTCAGAATCCCATCCCTTCTCCATGCTCAGCAGCAGCTCCTCTCCCCTCCCATTCCTCTTTCCCCCAACCTGCCTCTGCCACTGCCCCCCAGCTGGCCTGAGGGTGGGGAGAGCTGCAAAGCCACCCCTGTCCCACCCCACCTGGGTGGCATGGGGAACTGGGCTTGGCTGGGGGCAGTGGCATCAGCGAGTGGGTTCCTTCTCCCTGCCCAGTCCGCACAGGTGTTTCCCACCAACCTGGGAGCAGGCACTGGCAGGGAGCACCTGCCTGTCACCTCCACTGTCCCCAGATAAGCCCAGCTCCCCATGCAACCTCCCCATAGCTCTGGCTGGAATGAGGCAGGAGCAGTTGGGCCAGTGTGGCAGTGGGCAAATCTCCCCTTGCATCCAGAGGCCTAAGTAGAGAGGGGGAGGGGGGGAGGGAGTGCTAAGAGCCGGGGAGTGCAGCCATATTTGCAACACCAGTCACTGCTCTCACACCCCCTCTTTTTAAAATCCTGGATTTGCCTAAGCTTGTTAGTACTCCTTAATGTAGGCTAAATGATACTGCCAGGAGATTGTGGGGTCCCCTTCTTTCACTCTATCCCTTAAATCACATCATCAGTTTACTCAGTGGCCTGGTATGGCAAATGTCCCATAAGAATTACAATTTTCTTTTGGATGCTGTGGGAGTGGGAGGTATTGGCTCAATTTTCCAGGCATTTTATGAGTTGAAAATGTATCTGTTTGGGCTCACAGTGACTCACCAGCCTCTTCCCTGTTTTGCATATCTCCAATTGCAGCAAGCTGACTGCAGAAAGCTGGGATGAGTTTAATGCCATCTGTACTGGATCTTTTTCATGCCCTTCTCTTTCCC